GCACAATTAATTATCTGTTGATCATAATCTAATGGTAACATCCAATTCAATGAATTGTGCAGAAATGCATATTATTTGTGCATCCACCAAGAAAGGAAGTTACTGCTAAGCATTCCATTAATGTTTGAGAATGAGTTACATTCATATATTTTAGCCGCATGAATATATAATTCCCTTCGTATGAGTATTTTGAGATTTCTCAAGAAAAGAATGACAAAAAAATATAGAAACATAAACCAAAAAACAAACCATCAAACACCCTTAAATGCTTTTTCATTATAGGACTTTAAAAAAGAGAAAAAACTAAAATGTTTTAAATATATTTAGTTACCTTTATATAACTGTATAGGTATAGTATTTATATATTTTACTTCTATCGCTAGCACTTGATATATCACTGTGAGGACCTGAATACACAATACCTATATATTGTGTATACCTGTATGCACAATAGACACATCTGCAGAATTCTACAAAGGCGAGAAAACTTACAAATTCCTTTAATAGGTACCCAAAGTCTCTAGAACCTTAAGTGGGATGTTGTACCAGATAGTCCTGATTTTTTCTATAGGTCACAAATAAACATATGTACCTCGTAAAGATCTTACTACTAGATCTCAATATAGTTAAAAATATATCAAGGAAAGGATAACAAAATTACATTCAATGCTAAGACAAAAACTGGTTTTCAATTTTTCTAAAATGCATTTAGATGGCATAGTAAGCCACTAGATGGCAGTAGGCTCAAGCATATTCAAACTTAGAATCTGTTTCTCTTATAAACTCCTCCATTCTTTCTGCTTCCACAAACTTAATTTTTCAGGAATGTTTCCTATTGAAATATGAAGTGTGTTTCAAGCTCTATCTTGGGGATTAACTCTAAGTACTTTAAACTACAGGGCAACTTGAAGGTTATTTGGCCATACTCATCTACTGCACATGCCTTAATTCAGAACAGTCTATGCTTTTTCCCCCCATAACTGCTTTACAGTAACTTAAAAACCTTTGATCTATATCAGAACAGCTGTGACGATAGGTGTATTTCCTAGTTTGCTGTGCATTGATGGACTGTAAGTATATACACACACAAATGCACACACATCCCTATAATCATGCACGTTCTATACGCATTTCAGCCAGACACGTTTTTCAAGATGGTTTGAAAAGGGCTACTTTAAAGTAGGAATT